GGCAAGATCTCCTGAGCAGATTCGGAACATCGAGAGAGAGGAGAGGGAGCCTGTAAAAAGAGGGGGGAGGGAAAGGAGGGGAGAAGAAGGCATGGAGGAACAGGAAGGTTGAGTCGAGGTAAGAATAGAGGAGAGCAGGATGAGAGATACAACAATAAATGGAGTCATTATAGGTTTGAGGAGGGAGCTGACACTAATGAGATTTCCAGAGATATACAGGATAACACCAACTGGCAAACTAAGCAATAATGGAGAGACTACATTAATAGCCCCTCTCTGATGATAAGGTTGATGACTACCTTATATGCCATCCTAGAACCTTCATTCAGTGACTGATGGAAGCAGGGACAGATACCCACAGCTAAACACTGAACTGAACTCCTGGAACCCAGTGACAGAAATGGAGGAGTGATGAGCAAAGGCATCAAAACCATGCTGGTGAAACCCACAAACACAGCTGACCGGACAAGAGGGAACTCTTGCACTCCAGACTGATGGCTGAGATGCCAACAGGGAGTGATCCAGACTCCATGAATATAGTATCAGTGAGGAGGCCTCAAAAATCTCTGGGGCCATGGTAAACACTGATTAGTGTTTACCATGGCGTACGAATGAACTTTGGGAGCCCTTTCCACATGGAGGGATGCTCTCAGCCTGGACACATGGGGAAGGGCCTAGGTCCTGCCCTGAATGAAATGAAAGACTCTGGAGATCCCCCCAAGGAGGGTCTCACACTCCCTAGGGTGTGATGTGGGGATTGGGTGGGGGTCTGGGGAGGCTGGTGGAAGGACAAGGGAGGAAGGGTGGGAGAGGGAGCAGACAAGGGAGGAGAGGTGGGAGAGGGAGCTGGGATTGAAATGTGAAGCATGAATACATGTTTCTAATTTAAATAAAAACATATATTGAGGGGAAAAAAGATTGCAGTTATCATCTAAAATTCAAACTCAGAATATATGGATTTTATTAGACTTTCAATGGTATCCAAAAATTTAGATACAAACATGCATAATATTTTATTTTATGATACTGGTTTTATAAATACTATATATAAAAATTTTATTTCAATCAAAATAAAAACCTATAATGGCTCCCTGTATTAAGACGGTTTCTTCCAGTTCCATCCATTTGTCTGGGAATTTCAAGATTTCATTGTTTTTTTTTTCCACTGAGTAATACTCCATTTTGCAAATGTATCACATTTTCTCCATCCATTCTTTGGTTGAGGAGCATCTATGTTGCTTCCAGGTTCTGGCTATTACAATGCTGCTATGACCATAGTTGCACATATGCCCTTGTTGTATGGATGTGCATCCTTTGGGTATATGCCCAAGAATGGAACTGCTGGATCTTGAGGTAGACTGATTTTTTATCTGACTATTACACCAGATGATGTTGTAAATATTTTTGTATTTCTGCATGAAAATGTAATTTTAATTTCTTCAGAAAATCCAATACTATTTTTCAAAGTCACTGTACCATTCCCAATCACATCAGCACACTTCATTTTCAGGACCCATTCTTCCTACATCCATATCAGTGCTTGTTATTGCTTGCCTATTTCATTGCTGCATCCTTAAAGGGTAGGAAGTAGTAGCTCATAATGGTCCTGTTTGCATTTTTCTAGTGAGTAATGATGGTGACCCTTTTGTCTTGTATGTACTTACTGGAAACTTTTATAACATTTTGGAGAAAAGATATTTTAAAATCCAATGCCCACTTTTAATTGGTTAGCTTATTTTATTTCTTAGCACTAATCATTTAAATAGGGCAAACCTTAATCATAAGGCACAGTTTTCTATTGGGTTCTCCAACCCATTATACTATCTTGTAATTTCTTAGTGTTCTTTGAATCACCTTAACCAAATTTTCCAAGCATTAAAATGTATGTGTTTTTATTTTACTTTGTCTCTGATTTTTTATTGAAATACCAAAAAGGCCACTGATCAACAAGGTCATAGGGCAGTACATTTGAGAAGTTTATTCTTGAAGTTCTCATATGCAGTTATTTGGCTCATTTTGAGTTACGTTTTATGTATGGTTATGTGTCTGTTTTAATCATACTCAAAAAAGCTCCCTGTTCACTGATTCTCTCTAACTATGACAGCACAACTTCTGACATTACTTTTTAGTGACTTATTAAGCTTAATCAACTCTCTGATGAGCTCATGTCTTCCATGCAATATTTTCCTGACATTACTCATTAATAACTTACATATATCTTAGTGAATTCTCAGTAACTTCAATCACAGTTTGAGCTCCCTAACCCTCAACCAAGCACAGTGGTTTAACCCATCACGCCACAGTTATAGAACAGGTGCAACCTCTTGATCCTATCTGATTCTAATCTTGCTTTTAATGATCCATTCTTCAAAAAAGAGGCAAAATTAGTAACATAAATATAATTGAAGAAATTCCCTTGCTTGAAATAGTCCAATACATTTCTCAGTAGTTTGGTTTGTTTGTTGCTTCTATTTTTGTTTTTACCTCAAAGAAAAAACAACGCAATCATTAGAAATATTTTTAACGGATTCATGGTTGCTGGGATGAGTAAGTGTTACTGACATTTTACAGAAGCTATTTATGTTGCTGAACGCTCTACAGTTGACAGAGTGGTCCTACGACAAAGTGTTATCTGGTCGGAAATATCAATATTACAAAGGCTGTAAACATCATATTTTTATGCTCACATTATTTTCTATGTGATTTATTCAATTTTAGAAACAACATGTAAACCTCATATTAAAGTCTAAAGAAAAGTCCCCAACGTGGAGTGGGAGATGCCCATCTCTCCAAGCTCATCTGCCCTTTCCATCTTTCTGCCCATGCTCCAGTTATAAATCAGCTCCCTTAACATACAAGGTTATTTTCTGAAACAAAGCCATTAAAATTGCTTCTCAATATAAATGCGATTTTCTTCCCTAAGTTGGCTACTTCTCATCTCTCAGGTATGTCAAAGCATCACCTGGTTAACAAAGGGAGCCTTCACACCTGCAGGGGATAAAAACTAATTCAGGATGGTAGCGCTTTAGATGAGAGGGTTATTGGGGGAGTAGCATGAAAAAATTAAAGGTAAATGAAATACGCATGTAAATAGCAGATGCTGAATGGCTAGGTTTTTTTCACTCTCTCATGTTCTTGTGCCTTTGTCCAAATCTCTTCTCAATGCTGCCTTCCTAATGACCCCATTTTTATTAACATTTTAAGTGATCCTTCGAGATAATGGATTTCGTTCTGGCATTTTCATATATATAGTTCTTATTCCTGCCCTTCCCCATTTCTGTCCTCCATCTATGGATGCCCTTCTTGTTCGTCCCTTTCTCCCCAGGCAGTCGCCCCTGCATACTCTTTGAATGACTAGTGTGAGATTGGAAATGCCATACATGAATGTTAAAATGTGGCTGGGAATTGGTAAGTAGACATGGAAGAATGTTAGGTAGAAGACTGAGGATTCTATTGAAATGAAAAGATAATATTTGAAGAATGGCCACAGCTGTGAGGATTTATATGCAGCTTGTGCAACATGAAGAGGGGAGTCTACAAGTAGTATTTGAAGTAGAGGATGAATAACAGCAAGAGGATAGAGAATATGCACAGAGATATCTTTCATAAATTTGTACATTAGGGACAAAAAGAATAGAATCAAGCAATAATCCATGTGATTAAAGAGATTTTTTTAAACAAAGGAATATGCAGGGGCACAAAAGGATCATTGCCTAAACAACATCCCCAGTGATAATGGCAGGAGATGGGGATGAGAAGGTTTCCAATATTGAGCTAAAGGGTTAAGTAGGATGGAAGGTTTGGGAGAGCAAACTGACACCAGTCAGTGCAGCTACCTGCTGCCATGGGTCTGTTCAGAACAGATCTAAGGCCAAGATTAGCAGGAAAGAGTGATTAGAAGGAAGAGAAAGTGATGGTGTCTATCCCTAGGTGTTTCTCACCGTTACAAGGAGCATCCTAACAGTTGAAATATAATTGAAAGAGAAGACGTTTCTGGACTTAGAGTTAGGATATATCTAATCCCTGTCGCGGGCCTCATTCCTCAACCTAGATGCTAAGCCACAAAGCACACGACAAAATGTGGATTGCTTCTTCTTCTTTTTTTTTTTATTCTCCTAGTGTATAGTCTTTATTTAATCATTGTCATGTGGGTCTAATGATGCCACTGTCATTGACATCTATGTTTACCTAGCATTAAATTTTTCCATTATGTTTATTTTTTATGTTTTATTTTTTATCATTTTTTAAAATTTTAAATAGCTTGTTTTACATGTCAATCCCAGTTCCCTCTCCCTCCCCTCCTCCCGCACTCCTCTTCCTCCCCACCCTCCCACCCTATTGCCAAATCCTTCCACATAGGGGATATCAGAGTCTGTCATTTTACTCTAGGTAGTGTCCAGGCACTCCCCTAAGAGTCCAGGCTGAGAGAGCATCCCTCTTTGTGCTATAGGCACACGAAGACTGTTTGTATATCAGGGATAGACACTGATCCACAGCTCAGGGCCCCATAGGTTGCCCAGGCCTTCTCGCTGACACTCACATTTGGGGGGGGGGTCCAGATCAGTCCCATACTGGCCTCCCCACTGTCAGTCTGGGGTCCAAGAGCTCTCCCCTGTTCAGATCAGCTGTCTCTGCTGGTTTTCCCAGCCCATTCTTTGCCAATTTGCTCATCACTCCTCTCTCTCTGTCACTGGGTTCCTTGGGTTCAGTTCAGTGATTAATTGTGTGTTTGCCTCTGCTTCCATCAGTCACAGGATGAAGGCTCCCGGATGGTTATAGACATCAAGTTCATTAACAGGAATGGGCATTCGAGGTGGTCTGTCCACTATTGCTTAGCTTGCCAATTGGTGTTATCCCTTTAGATCACTCGAGGTCACTCTGGTGCCTGATCTGTATTCGATCCTATGATTCCCTCTTCCCCCTATTCTACCCCCACCCCCTCAACTTCCTGTTCCCCCATGACCAACTCTCTTCCTCTTCACCCCCTCTCTTCTTCCCAGGTCCCACTCCCCGAGAAGCAGCAACACATTGTGTATTGTTCAAACGATCTTCTAGGAGATTTGTTTGGAGTGCCGAGCTTCTCTGTGAAAGACCACAGGAAAATACATATAATGATCTACAGAAACTTGGTGGTCGTAAGTCAGCAAGAGTCTTCAGACTCCGGCACATCAGTGAGTGAGAGCAGATGTCAGCCTGAAGGAGGCAGTGAACAGAAGGATCCTGTGCAAGAGCCACAAGAAGAGAAGTCGTCTTCAGATTCAGTTTCTAGACCATCTACCTCATCTAGAAGGAGAACAATTAGTGAGACAGAAGAAAATGCAGATGAGCTACCTGGTGATCGACAGAGGAAGCTCCACAGGTCCCTTTCCTTTGATGAAAGCCTGGCTTTGTGTGTGTTAAGAGAGATATGCTGTGAGAGAAGCAGCAGCAGCGAGTCCACAGATACCCCCTCAAATCAGGATCTTGATGATGGTGTAAGTGAACACTCAGGGGATTGGTTGGATCAGGATTCAGTTACTGATCAAGTGTAGAATTTGAAGTTGAGTTTCTTGACTCAGAAGATTACAGCCTGAGTGAAGGAGGGCAGGAGCTCTCAGATGAGGATGATGAGGTCTATCGAGTCACAGTGTATCAATCAGGAGAAAGTGATGTAGATTCCTTTGAAGGAGATCCAGAAATCTCCTTAGCTGACTATTGGAAATGTACCTCCTGCAATGAAATGAATCCTTCCCTTCCACCTCACTGCAATAGATGTTGGACTCTGCATGAGAACTGGCTTCCAGAAGATAAGGAGAAAGATAGAGGGGATGCCTCTGAAGAGGCCAAGCTGGAGGCAGAAGGCTTAGATGTTCCTGATGGGAAAAAATCTACATCGAGTGATTCTAAGGAGTCCTGCACTGAGGAGAATGATGATAAAGAAATATATACCTCCCAGTCACAAGAGAGTGAGGACTATTCCCAGCCCTCAACTTCCAGCAGCATTGTTTATAGCAGCCAAGAAGACGTCAAAGAGTGGGAGAAGGAAGAGACAGGAGACAAAGAGGAGAGTGTGGAATCTGGCTTCTCTCTTAATGCCATTGAACCATGTGTGATTTGCCAAGGGCGGCCTAAAAATGGTTGCATTGTTCATGGCAAAACTGGATTGCTTCTTCTTTAGATGCATGGCTGACCGGAACTGTATTGATTCTAACCCCAGTGTTGAAAGACTGTGTAGAGTTCCTCCTTCGACATCCAGTCTCCACTAAATATGCACACTTTTCACACTGTCGCAAAATTGAAATATTGGGAAGTGAACTATCTCAAATGGGAGATCATTTGTATAACAAAAAAATGAAAAATCTTAGGCTGTGGGGAAGGTAGAAACAACAGACAAGGTTACACAAAAGAAAACAGAGATTAAGGAGTCATTCTATTGACCTCCCCACCCCAAATACCTGTGCAATGGTGGCAACAGAAGATGACGCAGTGCAAGAAAATGGAGGAACTGGTCAAATGGAGATGAGCAAGAGGAGCAATAGGCAAGCAGCCAATGGAAACATTTGCAATAGGCAAAGACCCTTTGAGGAGCTTGGACTTGGTCTTTTATGGAAATGGTATTCCATTTGAGGAGTGAAACTTCTACCATGTCTGTGTATTTGGGAAAGGTTTTGGCCATTATCTACAATGAAAATAAAGAGAGGTTTTTGTTTAATTTCAAACAAACATCTCCCCCACCCCATTCCTTTATGCTCCAAACAAGAGTTAGATTTTCCACAAAATCAATCACAAGGCCTCACTAATTTTCCTAAGCTGTTATTTAAGTTGCTTTGTGTTGATTTCTATTACAAAAAAAACATGAAAGGAAAGAAGTAGAGTTTGATTATCAGTTAGACTGTCATCCAAGCTGAAAAAGCAGTGGGAGGAAAAGCCTGAAAGCCACTTATAATGTACAAGATGAGCATAAAAGGCTAGTCAAGTAACTAGATGTTGCCTTTAAACATCACACTAATCTTGCTATCTAGGCAAATAAATGCTACTATCAATGGTTCTTCCAGTGTTCAGATTAGTATTATTCATAATTCTAGTATATCTTTATAAGACACATGACCTTTTATTAGAGAATGTTGACTAGATACACTTACAGTAAGTATCTCGTGTCAATAACTAAAGTCACTAAGTACTCTTTGTCTTTTTAATCACAGGCATTCCAGTGTTTTCTATCAAATGAAAAGTTTTGTTCTCTCAGCACCCATTGAGAAATGTCACTGGTGAAATTCTGTTTTGAATACACTGGCATCATTTTTCTGAATATAAAGATGTGGTAATAGTGATGTCACTTCTGACATTGTCATCTTTGTTTTGGTAGTGTTAGCTATTTGCAAACTTTTCCTTAAGCCAGATTAGATCCAGTTTTATATCATGAAGCCAATGTTTCTGCACACTTGTCTGTAATCACTTTTTTCACAGGCTCACATTTTGTAAATCCTTAAGAAAGATTCATGATTTCTCAACCACAGAAGAAACAAACTTAACCATTTATAAGTTGTGTTTTAAATTCCCAAAAGGTAAAAGACGATATCTGTCGTTATGATCAGCAGGATCTCTCTTCACAAACCACACAAATGCATGGCATTATTAAGATATATGGAGGCAACCTACCACGAAATAAAGTTAAGTGCAGAGACAGGGCACCCCAGAAGCTAGCATTATTTTAATAGGACAAAATGAAAAGTGACTTATGTAAATACATTTTTACACAGCATTCATATACCATTTTGATGTTTGTTGTCTATTCACTGTGGAAAGTATGTCAGGAACTATGAATCTCAACAGAATGTAATAACACTCATTTTCTCCAGAAATATCTGTGGAAAATAATCTGAAAGAGAAAACTTCATTATTTTAACCATCCTGTATTTAAAACATAGTTTATGAGCAAGTAGAGTATTTAACATTGAACATTATGTAAAACTGCATAAGAATTCATAAATGTGAGGGAGGTAAAGACAAACCTGAAAACTAAAACGTCAACTGATACTCAGTTTTAGCCCCAAACTCGGCGTTCCTCAGAGCAGAGCACTCGATATGACAGGTACAAAGCATACCACCAGTTTGCAAATACACAAGTCCAGTTAATAGAAATGGGACTGAAGGCAAGAACTGGGTTGTTTTAAAATGATTATAAAATTCCTGAATATTTTAGCTTAAAGTTCTAAATTCAAAGAGAACCAAGAACTATTTTCTGTAATGTTTATGATCTTTATTAATTAATACAATGAAAACAAGTGCAGTTCACTCACAAATAATGATGATGAAACCTCTGATAGAGCAGTATAGTAGTGTACAAAGAATGAGACTTATGTCAGTCGTGCCCCATAATGACTGAGGTATGAGACCAAATCTATTTTAAATCTCTGATCATTTTAGCCACTTTCATGACCTCTGTATGTCTGTGTCTAACAGGCTTATAGTTACACATTAATTACTTAGAAAGGTAATTTCAGTAGAGAAATGAGCAATGGTTAAAACATCAAAAAGTGATTTTTTTGCAAATCATCTCCTCTAGGAAATATTGCAATAAACTAAGAAATGCAAAAAAATGAAATCAAAGTGGTAGTAACTGAATTGTCCTATTTGATCCTCCCATTTTATGTGAACCTATAAAATAGTCAAAAGAAGAGTTACTTTGCCCGCCTCCATATAGTCTGCTTTTTCCAGAGTATTGAAAGCCTTGTCCAGCAACCCCACTCCAGTGATAGGAATGACAGGAATGTGCTTTCTTCACACAGAAACAGAAGAAGACCCGTTTCTCTGAAATTTAAATTTTCTCTTCATAGTTTCAAGCAATTTTTGTCAAAGGCATTTCAGAATGTTCCAGGACAAGGGTGAGTTTTGGATGTAGTTTTGCATAAAGTCACACCTATAAAATCAACACAGAGGGAGTGAGACAGCATGAAAGGATGTCATATGTTCACAGACATTGTTTGCCTCTACATGTTTCAGGCTAAGGGCATCTGTACAATTTCTTAGAAGTAAAAACAGTGGTAGACTTTAGGTGCAGTCCTGCATTCCTTAACAAGGCATATATATTCTAAGAAATGCATCTACAAGGTATCTCACCATTTTCTGGACATCAGAAAGTCTGTTTATGCAAACTTAGATGATTCAATTCATAAGAGTGACCTGCTGTCACCAAGAGATTTTGTAAAAATAGACATATAAGAGCCCACAGTGTAATTCAACATAGAGGTTCACAGTGATACTTTTATATAAAAAGAGATAACACTCTAAAATAGTTAGAAAAGTCTTGCATAACAAATCATAAACCAGTCAGACAATCATTGTTATCATTATCAAATATGCTTACATTATTTTTATACTGCAGATAGTGTAAGAAGTTTATTATATCACAATGACCATGAGCAGGTGAATGATACCTCTATCATGATAGTAGGTTTCATGGAAAATGGAATTTTTACTCACATAGAAGTTTCACAGGAAAGAGAGTGAGTATGTGGTCAGTACCTGAATGAAAAATCACAATACAACACATAGATGTGCTATTAATTACTATGGTGAGAATATGAGGATAATTCTATGGTGATAACTGTAAATACATATAAACATAATATATATATGATTAATATATAAATATATATATATAATCATTTAATCCTCCCAGCGATGTTTACTAGTATTATTTGCAACTTACAAATAGAGAAAACAAGCAATGGAAAGTTTAAACATAGACAACTGTAAGGATAAGATATGAACTCAAATATTCAAGAATTAGAACTCCTGTGTTTTTCAGCATATAGCATATAGCCTCCAAGTCTACTGTCTACTGTCCTCACTGTTATTTGAAGACATAGGAATCTTGTCCCCTCATTTAGATTTAGAGGAACAAGTATTTTCATTAGGTTTTATTCATGGTGAGTGTTTCACAATGAAGACTAAAGTTGTGATGAATTCACAGTCACTCAGGTCAACTCAACTATACACAAAAGGAGGGGATAGTGATGTGCATGCAAATAAAATTATCCTTGCCCAAAATCATGTTTATTCTATGCAAAATTTAAAAATTCACATAATTTCTCATTAAAAACTAGCTAAAATTTGTTACTTCCCAGTAATGGAGACACAAATTATCACATTTAGCAAGCTAAGAGGTCGATAAGCTGTGTAGACAGCTTTCAAGATGTTCTGGGAAATTGATAAATAAAAGTGTCCTAAAATCAATAGAAGTAACTGCAAAGACTTGCCTGTGGGCTGTGACATTTCTAAGGAACTAGACATAATTGAATTCTAGTTCTTGAGGTTTTTTTCCAAGTGACAATGGCTAAGTTACTAAGAGAAGGATTCAGTTTGGAGAGATAAAACTAAAGTTATCAGTACAACTCAAAGCTCATTGTAGCAGGCAACTGAAGAATTGTACAGGATCTACCAATCAATAGAGAAGTTGATGCCATTCTGCTTCAGATTCACATGCATAGATTTTGCACAGTTTTCCTTATCCCTTTTTTCCGTCAAAGAGTCTCAGTGATTTGTTATTGGTGGGTTTGGGCCATTAATAAAAGTGATGTTTCTTCCTTTTTCTCTTCATTATCTCATGGAAGTTTAAGGTCACGTAGAAGGATTTTCCTTTGGACTGCCAGCTCACAAAAAATGACATGGAGACTTATTGATAATCATGAAAGCTCAGTCTATAGCTTATGCTTATCCCACTGGCTATTATAACCATCTCTTAACCTAACCCATTTATTGATCTATGTTTTGTTTCATGGCTTTTTACATGTCTTCCATCTTGCACTTCCTGTTTTCTCTCCATGTCTTCTGGCATCTCTCCTGTGCCTAGGTTCATCTTCTTTCCTTCTCTCTCTAACCAAAAATCCCACATAACTTTTTCCTGCCAAGCTTCTGGTCATTCAGCTCTTTATTTAACTAATAAGAAGGTGCTTGGCAAAGAGCCATCTTTAAGGTGTCCAAAAAGATTATTCCAAAACAAGGTTTACTTTTGTCCTTTCTTGAACTTCTTTTTGCTTGTAACTAGGGGTTGAAAGTGCTGCCAGCGATTTGGCAGCCAATCCGTTATGCACCAGCAACTGCTATGGTACAGAAGCTTAACCCTCAGTGCCACAAAGAGTGGTGCCAGGGGTTCAAAGACAGTGCATCATTATTTTAATACTAAATCCTTCTCTCTCTCTGCTGAGGCTAAATACAGCACCCACCTGTGTCTTGATTCTCTCTCTCTGACACAGTTTATTAATCTTAAATTAGCTATATTCACATGCTATCATCAAATACTAGTCTCTTTACTGGTACTATCAAATTTGCTTGTCCTTTGTGTAACCAAACTTCTGGAGATTGTTTGTTCCTTTAAAATTTTTAGTCCCATCTTTCTTTGAAATAATAAGCATTCCCTGGCACTGAACTTTTCACTTCTCATATCTCACTTATACATTTATCCATGTCCAGTCATACCAGAGTCTCGTGCTTTTCATCATTTTTCTTCTTTTTCAATTGAAAAATATATTGAATGATTTTGTAATGTAATATGTCACAAGTTATACACAGAGACATATATTCATATACAAATAATAAATCTATTTCCCTGAACTCAGTGTTATGCATCGGTCCCATGAGCTCCCTTGCTGTCCTGTTTGTTTTTGCTTCCAAAAGAGAATTGTTTTCTCAACCTTTGTCTTGCAAAATAGCTTTTGAAAAATTTGATCTCACACATTGTTACTTACAATCTGTTTTGCAATCTTTCTTCAGTAGTCTGTATGAAATCGCATCATGTTCTATACAGTCTTCTGAGGATTGCTTCTATCTCAATATCATATTGGCTTTTACACTTGTAATGCATTGACTTTTGCTGATGGATGGTATTATGACATGTGAGTCCACATCTCAAATTACCTACTAGTGTCTCTGGTGTTGTGGATGGAGTTTTTGTTTTCTACCTCATGTTGATTAAGACTACTATGAAAATGTTATATTTCTCTCCTGGCAAAAAGTTGTATGCATTTATGTAAGACTGCTGCCTAGGAGTAGGAAAAATGATGGTTTTTAGGATATGAGGATATCTAAATTCAAAAAAGCTTAATGAATTGTGTTTTCAAAATACTTTACAAATTTATGCTCCAACAATCAGTTGTTTCCTCTAGCCTATTATTAGACCAATTCACTTACCATTTTACTGTTCTACCTATTTTACTACCTCCTTCAACTTCCCAGATCTCCTGGGAGAACTGCATTGTTAATTTGCTTGCTTTAGGACTGTGCCTGAATGCCAGACAAATCAGCTGTATTTCTGATTCCTATAGTGTCTCCTATAACCTTCACCAATGTGGGTAGAGGAAAATTCATTTTCTTTTCCTTCAACTGTAGATTAGCTGCAAGAAAATTGATGTATTTTAATATATCATTTTATTCACTATGATCTTTCTTCTTGGCAATCTTAAAACTTGGATTTTGTGATGGGCTAACTCCTGGCCTCAATTCCACATGGCTTCCACTACATAACCTCCTGGAGTCTTTAATCCAAGTATGTTCATTACTAAGTAAATTGTTTGCTCTCCAAAAATGTCTGAGTCATATTTAGTAGTAATTTCTTGCATTTTAAACATTTATGACTGTACCTAGTGAACATAAAAATATTAGGTAACTTTGTGTAGAACTTGTCCCTTATTCCTTTGTCTCAGGAATGAGTTCTTTAATGTGATATCCAATACCAAGTGGAAAACCTACACTAAATAGACTCAACTTGTCGTATTTATATACTTATAAAGGTATAGGTTATATATGTATATATTTATTTGCATATTTATATGTAACCATCAAAGGGAAAGAGAACATGAGTTATAGAGATATTGAGGAAGCACCAGAGGGGTTGGATGAAGCAAAGGCAAGGGGGTAAACATGTAGTTATATTTTAATTCTTCTTGTTAAAAAAGAATTACAGAATTACTTTTAAGATACAAAAATCGGCCTCTCCTCTCAGCGGGAGCCTGCACACCCCAGATTCCTGATCTTCTCTTCCACCAATGGGACCAGGGGACCAGGTAAACCAGGCCCTGTATCCGGGCCTGCCCTCCAGTGCCTGGGGATTGAATTTATTATTCATGTTAATCATCCAATTGCTAACATCCATTTGTAGATATTTAGCTTCTCAACTACATTAATTAAAGATACCATCTTTTTCATTGGATCACTTACTACCTGAAAATGTATAGATTTATTTCTATACATCACACACACACACACACACACACACACACATGCAAACATGTTTGTGAAAAGGAGTCACTATAGGGAAAGTAAGAGTAAAGCACATACACACATATATATATACCAAAATTACCTTGCAATCTGGAAATCTAACATCTAAACATAAAAATAAATAGAATTTGCTTGTGTGCGGATGCCCATAATTCCATGATCTTTGCACCATGATTAACCTCAGCAAAAACATGCAAGTGGCTTGAATTCATATCAGTGTCAAAAGTTTTGGATCAAAGATGTGGCATAGATACACAATGGAATTGTGTGCTACCTTAAAAAGAAGGAAGTCAGTTTGTGACAAATAAATGAATCTAGGGGATATTATGCTAAGCAAGTTTAATTTAGTATACAGAGCAAAATTTACAGAAAACTGTAGCAAGCAAATACATAGACTAGAGACAGGAAATAGTTCTTAGTAGCTGGTAAGCAGGGACATAGATAATGATCAAAGAATTCAGAGATATAGGATCAAAAGATACAAAATTCCTGGTAGGAACACAACAAAGAGAAAGCTCACAGAGTGGGAGGGTCTTTTTCAACTACATATTTTAGAATTAATATTAAGAATACATAAAGATTCAAGAACAAGGAGCCAAGAAAACAAATAACTCAATCTTAAACATGGATTAATAGATATAAACACATATGTGCATGCAGGAACGCGAGCGCGCGCGCACACACACACACACACACACACACACACATACACACACACGCATGCACGCACACATGCACGCACTCAGGGAAATTGCCAAAATCATCCTTGCCATTAAGAAATGCTGGAAGGGAGCCGGGCGTTGGTGCCGCACACCTTTAATCCCAGCATTCAGGAGGCAGAGGCAGGCGGATCTCTGTGAGTTCCAGGCCAACCTGGTCTACAGAGGGAGTTCCAGGACAGCCTCCAAAACAGAGAAACCCTGTCTTGTAAAAACCAAAAAAAATGCTGGAAGGGAAGCCAGGCATTGGTGGCACACACCTTTAATCCCAGCATTAAGGAGGCAGAGGCAGGCGGATCTCTGTGAGTTCCAGGCCAACCTGGTCTACAGAGGGAGTTCCAGGACAGCCTCCAAAACAATACAGAGAAACCCTGTCTCAAAAAATGCAAAAAAGAAAAAAGAACAAAAAAAAAAAAAAGAAAGAAAGAAATACTGGAAGGGATGTGGGGAAAGAGGAACATTCATCAACTATTTGGTGATGCAAACTGATTCACCTATTATAGGTGCAGAGAATTCTCAAATATCTAAAAACAAATCTACCATTTGATCCATCCACACCACTTATTGACATATTCCCAAAGTTGACATCTGACACTAAAGATACTTGCTTAGCTGTGTCCACTGTCGTTATAGTCACAACAGTGAGGAAATGGAAATAACCTAAATGTCAATCATCTGATGAAAATGTGATACCTAAATGCTATGACATTTTATAGATCTGTAATGAAAAAAATTTGCATGAAAATAGATGGAATTTATTATAGTGAATGAGTAATCCAGAAATACAAATGCTGCATGTTCTCTCCCATTTAGATTTCTTGGCTCTTAATCTTTCCATGTGAGAATATAGCCTACAGTAAAACCCAAAACAGGAAAATAAGGGATGGTGGAGGATCAATAGGAGACAAGAATTCTAGATTGGAGGATAGTAGAACACATATGATACCCAGGGTGCAATAGGAAAATGTTCGAGGAGCAGGCTGGGGAGATAAGAGGGCAATATAGAAGGAGAAGTAGTTGGGGGGTAATATAATGAACACTAAGGATAATTGAAAAAAGACATATGAAAGTATATTCTTTTACATTTCTTTAAATATTTATAGTGCAAGCCAGGTGGTAGTGGCACACGCCTTTAATCCCAGGAGGCAGAGGCAGGCATATCTCTGTGAGTTCTAGGCTGGGCTGGACCGACAGCCTCCAAAACAATACAGAGAAACCCTGTCTCGTAAAACAAACAAACAAAAAAAAAAGATTTGTCACACAATCTTCCTCCTCCTTCCTAGTTTCCTCTCTCCACCCACCATTGAGTCGGGGAAAGAATAGAAAAGAGTAAGGAAAGAGATACCAAAATAGAGGGAGCAATTATAGGTTTAAAGAGAAGTCTGGCACTAGGGAAAAGTTCGGAGATCTACAAGGATGACCCCAACTAAGAATCTAAGCAATAGTGGAGAGGCTACCTTAAAGGCCCTTCCCCTATAATGAGATTGATGACTACCTTATATGCCATCCTAGAGCCTTCATCTAGTAGCTGATGGAAGTGGAAGCAGAGACCCACAGCTAAGTAGTAGTATGGAAGGAGAAGTGATGAGCAAAGGGGTCAAGACAAGGCTGGGGAAACCCACAGAAACAGCTGACCTGAATGAGGGGGAGCTCATGGACCCCAGACTGAAGCTTGGAGAAGAGCATAGGACCAAACCAGGCCTGCTGAATGTGGATGTCAGTCAGGAGACCTGAGCAGTCAGTGGGGCCTCTGGTAGTGGAACAGTGTTTATCTCTAGTGTACAAAAGGACGTTGGGAGCCCATACCCCATAGATGGATACTAGAAACACTGGTGATGGCCTAGACCCTGTCCCAAATGATGTGACAAAATTTGATGAAGCAGAGCAGAAGGGGGATGGATTGGGGGAGGTGAGGGACATGGGAGGATGACATGGAGAACTGAGATTGATATATAAAATAAGATTGCTCTAATTTAAATTAAAACATTGTCACTCATATTGGTTTAATAAAACGTTGATTGGCCAGTAGTCAGGTAGAACGTATAGGCAGGCAACCAGTCTAGAAGAAGAAAGGCAGAGACAGAGTCACAGCCAGATACAGAGGAAGCAAGATGAGAGTGCTTCAATGAGAAAAGGTACCAAGTCAGGAGGCTAAATATAGATAAGAAT